ATACATACATACATACATACATACATACATACATATATATATATATATATATATATATATGTATATGTATATGTATATATACTTATATACTTACCAGTCCTCTCTAAGCGGTTTACAGAATCAGCATATCGCCCCCACAATCTGGGTCCTCATTTCACCCACCTCGGAAGGATGAAAGGCTGAGTCAACCTTGAGCCGGTGAGATTTGAACCGCTGAACTGCAGATAACAGTCAGCTGAAGTGGCCTGCAGTACTACACCCTAACCACTGCGCCACCTCGGCTCTTTCCTTCTAGCACTGATGATGTTAACTAGTAGGTCAATGACACATCAGCAAAAACAAAAAATCAGCCAAGCTCAGAGAGCTCCAAAGACCCCACAGTTATAATACTTATTTTAAAAAAAACATTTGATATCTATTTTTAAAAGTTAAAAAGAAATATTAAAAAGGAGATATGAAGGAATGAGAGACAATGCAACCGTCATAAACACGAATCAGTTGCCAAGCACCTAAATTCCGACCACGTGGCCATGGGGATGCTGCGACAGTCGTAAGTATGAAGAACAGACTTAAGTCACTTTTTTCCAGTGGTGGAGTAACTTTGAATGGTTGTAACTTGAGGACTACTTCTAAACGACCGTGATTTGTGACCTTTGTGATTGCTTCCTGCTGGCTCGCAAGAAGCAAAGCCAGCCAGGTAAGTCATCTGGAAACTAAAAGTTGTGATCACATGAGGTCTTCACATAAAACCTTCACTCCGTCACAGCGATTGGGATTTGTCGGAATTGCCGTCACTAAATGGCACGGTTATGTAACGTTGCCCTTCATGGCCTGGTTGCTTAGCAATGAAATCTGAACGGCTGTTTTAAGTGGGGGGGGGAGGGAGGGAGGACTACCTGTGCTTTTTTTTTCACAGCCACTTGGCTCAATCCGTGCATTTTGCCCGAAGTTTTTCATCTAACGGAATCGCTCCATCCAGAAATGAGCGATCGCAGAAAAACAACAGCCGTCTAGGTCATGTCTAAGGTTGAGAAATGCAAATTGGACAGCTTGGCATTCAAATGCAAAGTAAAAGGCAAGTAAACAGATTTCTCCCTATTTCCATACAAGAATGTTGCTGGGATAACCAAGGCTTCCTCTTGCCCAGTATTGTCAGTCACAAAATAGACAACAAAACCTTTGATTCTTTGGACTGGATTTGGGAAAGGTACTGTTGGCTGAAATAGCAACAGCAATAGCAGTTAGACTTGTATACCGCTTCATAGGGCTTTCAGCCCTCTCTAAGCAGTTTACAGAGTCAGCATATCGCCCTCACAGTCTGGGTCCTNACAGTCTTTCATGAGATTTCACAACTACAGAACTATGAGTTGCTTAGAGTTGCCATGCTTAGAGTTCCCATCTTGTGTTTACCGCCTAGTCTACTCCAGAGTCTACTTCATTCCTTTTGTACTTGCATCTGGCATTTTATGCATCAGAATGTCATAACACACGTTTCATCACTTTGACATAAACTTGTCAGGTCCTGCATGTCTTTGCTGGCAATGCTATTTTGGTATTCTTATCCAGATACGAACTTTCGTATCGCATAAACACCTAGTTGTAGAGCTAGGAATGGTCACACAATTGGCAACTCCAAAACTCATCTAACAAATGCTCTGTCTTACACATTGGCCACAAAAATCAGAACGCCAAATACAAGCTGGGCGGATTTGACAAGGAGACGACCCTCACTCTGTCAAGGACCTAGGAGTACTCATCTCAAACAATCTGAGTTGCCAGACCTCCCTGTAACAGCCAAAAAGGCATTAAGAGTTGTTAACCTAATCTTGCGAAGCTTCTTCTCTGGTGACATTGTACTGCAAACTAGGGCATACAAAACCTTTGCCAGACCAATCCTCTAATACAGCTCATCCGCTTGGAATCCACACTGTATATTGGACATTAATATGATTGAACAGGTCCAGAGGTATTTCACAAGAAGAGTACGCCATTTCTCTGCTCACAATAGAATCCCTTATGTCACCTGGGTTGAAATTTTGGGCTTGGATAACCTGGAATTATGCCACCTACGGTCTGACCCACACAAAATTGCCTGCTACAACGTCCTACCTGTCAACGACTACTTCAGCTTCAACCTCAATAATACACGGGCAAACAATAGATACAAACTCAAAGTAAACTACTACAGATTTGATTGCAGAAAATATGACTTCAGCAACAGAGTGGTCAACGCTTGGAATGCTCTACCCAACTCTATTGGTATATCCTCAAACCCCCCACAGCTTCAACCTCAAACTGTTTAACGTGGACCTCACCCCATTCCTAAGAGGTCCGTAAAGGGATGTGCAGAAGCGCACCAGGGTGCCTACTGTCTCTGTCCAACTGTCCCCATTTATTTGTACTCATTTCCTTCGTTCATNTCTTAGGTGCTCAGGCATGAAACTGTGCAGCTCAAACACTATACTTTTCCGCTCACACTGAAAAAAAAATTAGAGGGAACATTGGACACGGGTCCAGCTTACCCATTTTAGTTACCCTCCCTGTAGTATTAGTCCTTTTCTTATATTTTTGTGTTTTTAACTTTTTAAAAGTGCCCGTCAGTTGTCTTCCCAATGTGCAAATTGGAAGTTCGGGAATGGGATCTCTTCACTTTCCCATTGTTGTGCAAATAAACTTTTGGCTGCAGTTAATGCTTCTCAAATCAGATATGGATCCCCTTTGTTATACTTATCCGGTAAAATGCCCAACAAAAATATTTCTGGTTTTAAATCTATATGTTGCTTTATCACTTTTTCTAACCATGTATGTATTTTTGTCTAATATTTTTTTTGTTTTTGGGCATATCCACCACTTACTTCTCTGCAAGTAAGGCCCATGTATTACTTTAGCCAATATTATGAGATAATTCCAGTTGAGTGGATTGGAAGCCACGTCTTCAAACTATCTTTGGGCTTGTGAATTCATCAGGTTTGCTGCATATCCAGTGATGGATGGTACGGCACCTGGAACAGCTTGCTCTCCCTTCGTCATTCAGGAAGGCACAGTTCCCTCCATCACCGAGGACCTCCCACCTGCAACACAAGGGCAGCAAGAATGAAAAGCTGTGTCCCTACTGGCATCTAACCAGAGCTGGTACTCTGCCGGTTCGCACTGGTTTGGGTGAACTGGTAGTGGCAGCAGCGCGAGACTCCACCCACCCACCCAGACATCATCACGGACCTTCTGTGCTTGCCTAGAGAGCGTGCACTCCCGCTACTGAACTGGTAGTGAAGAAAATAGGATACCAGTATAGCATCTAACCATGCTATCAACTTGCTCTAGCAATATCTCCTTTCTGCCATGTCCCCATAGCCTTGTTTTCCTCTCAACCCAGGGGTGGGTTTCTGCCAGTTCTAACCTCTTCTATAGAAGAGGTTCCACAAATCTACAGTGCCGTTTAGAACCAGTTCCAGCTCCCTCCCCCCACCCGTCCGCACAT